TGCAGGCCAGACCAGATGGTGAACTGGAGGCTACCAGGTGAGCACAGTAAAAAAGTGTTACCAGGGAACTGAAGGGGTGCAAATGGGAGAAATCCTAACAGTGGACCACGGGACAATAAAAAGGTGGTGGTGACCTGCCTGGCATGTCTCAATGGATTGAACACTGGCCTGCGAGTCAAAAAAGGTTGCAGGTCCAATTCCCAGTCAGGGCACAGGCCTGTGCTGCAGGCCAGGTCCCCAGTTGAGGGCGTGTGAGAGGCAACCTATCCATGTTTCTCTCCCTTTTTTTACGTCCCTTCCCCTCTAAAATAAATGAAATCTTTTTTTTTTTTTTAAAGGCGGCAGCAGCAATGAACTGTAGGTCCCAGACATGAAGTGCTGTTCAAGTTGGAGTGTTTGATAAAATGAGCTGGAAAATTGGATGAGGCCCCGGTGAAATGCTTGAAACTGCATTGTAAGAAATAACCTTAATTAAGTACAGGAAGGTCTGGTTAAATGCTACAGAATTACGTTAAAGAGCAAAGCAAAACCACTCCCTGGGCAAAGTGAGCCTGCAGAGAAGGGAAACTGGTAGGCCAAGGAACGAGAGCAGAAGCATGACGTCACAGGAACTGCCGCTGGAGGTTCCCAGACATGGAGTCCCCGAGAAAACCATTTCCAGTGACTCCTGGAGAAAGAGCAGCTCTGAACCGCTGATCGACAGAGGCACCAGTGCCGGAACAGGACGGCACAAGCCACATTAAAACCATACGTTTTTCCCAACCTCCTTTCCCTACGGAGCTGGATGCTGGACGGTGAGGACAGCCAAGTGTTATAAAAAGAGACTCTTCCTCCAAAGTGGGCTTCTAGATCTGAATCAGTTCTGAGTGGGGAAGAAAAGTTCTGTATACTAAACTGTACCTTCTAATGTCTAAATAAGACTAATGCTGCCAAGTGAGCAGAATGCTTTTTACTACCTAAAAGTAACTAGAAAAACTATCTTCCTAAGAGCTGGAGCAACAGGGAAAAACTTAATCCACAGGGAGGGGTCCAAGGTGCAGTGAGAGAAGGTCAGTCATTTCTGCTTGAACTTGTATCAAGTACCATCCACGGAACATACCAGTTCTACAAATATCCATGGGTTCCCACCATGTATCAGGTGCAAAATATATATATAAAATACAGTGCTAATTATTTTAAAAATTTACTTTTGCTTTATTAAACAAAATGTGAAAACATATTAAGTCAAATAAAGCAAAGTGATTTTGTTTTAGTAGGAGATGCTTACAAAAGTTTAATCACAAGATATAATAAGAAACCCTAGCATGAATTTCTAAATGGATAAGGTACAAAATGGAAATACCAGTGCCCATCATTTTTAAAGATGCCTAAATTTAACCTGGAGTTATTTAATGCTTTCTAGGAAAAGGGGGGAGTTTGTTTTACCATAATCCATTTTGATAAAATACACTTACAAGTGTTTCATACTGTCAGGATGAAGACAATTTATTACCAAGTCTTTGGGTTTCACTTCAGAAACTCCCTTTAGATGGGGCCCCAGAGCAGTTTCAGTTACATCCTGCTCTGTTCTTTATTTGCTAGTGTTATAGAAAGGTTCAAGTATACTTAAGCTTTGAACTGAGGAAGCAGGATACATGAAGTTAATTATTAATAAGCTAAATTCCAAGTTTTTCCAGATTGTATGAAAAAAAAACCCAGAATAAATGCCTTTACCTCACTAATAAGTATTAAGGATAAACATATGTTTCACTCATTTCCTCTCAAGAATGCAGAAGGAACCCATAATGTCTCCCTCTGAGACAAATCTAAAACATTACTGACATTTAACATTCAACAAAATGTGAAAATACTTCTTTCATGAGAACTGAGATTAAGAACACTGGTAACAGATCAAACCCAATATGTATTTTCAATTGTGAGAAAAATCTTATAAAGCCTTAACAAAATATCTCATGCTCATCCTAAAGCAGATGAGAAACCTAAACTTTCATGATTTAAAAAAAAAAAAAAAAGACAACTGGGACCTAAAAATACAATAGCAACCTAGCCTAGAGAATAAATATGAGAAATTAGTTATCAAGTGCTTTGGAAATGTTTACACAAATGCTAACTGATATGCTCTCACAATCTATACAGGCAAATATGGACACAGCTGCAATGTGCCACATCAGAGTCATTCTTAATCACTTTATTAATTACATCTAATAAAAGAAAGGCTTTTAGGTCATTCTAAAGGGCCTTACAAAAAAAATAAAAAAGAACCCCTCTCCCCAAATACACACACAAACCCTGATGAAGAAAGAACCAACACTTCAAATGTTCAAACAATTATAAAGTAGGAGGATCCTGGAATTTATTTTACCTCGAAGCATATGAACTACTCCAAGATAGGAATACTCTAAAAACATTTTTAGTATTTTTTAAGGCACACAAAAAAAAATAGTCATAAGTGGTTCTAATTTCTTGAAAAAATTATTTGAACATGCACCAATGCTGTTGACTGTCAGCAAATCTGATGTTCTTATCCAAATACAACTATGCCAAGCATTTTTATTCAACATATCACAGCTTTCTTACATTGTTCTTCATCATCACTAGTATCATTTACTCTTAGATTTCTCATAGACACCAGACTATCGAGTATACTGTCAAATAATTTACTATAAAAAATGTACATTTTAAAAAAAAACTATCACAGCTCTCTATCACTAAATTGGAGGGATGACTTCCCTTATTATTTCTAGGAACAACCATAAAAAAGCTAACTGCCAGCAAGTCTAAAGATCTGAAAGTTCTATTGGAATGTACCCATTCCCTTATAAACATTGGTAAGTCAAAAGGGTCCACCCTAATTTCCAAACTTACCTGTAAAAAAATTATAATCTATGTTATTTTGTCATGATGAGGATTGACCTTGGAGCACATTAATTTAGATTATAGAGGGGACAAATAAAACTTTTTTAATCATATGTTCGGAATTAATTAATACAACACTACAAATCTCACCCTTTTTTCACCATACTTGTAATACTACAGGGAAAATCCAAATGTAGAACCACTAATTATTATTAAGTCCCTCCCTTTTCCTTACTATCAAGTCACTACTATATCATTTACACATGGTGAATAAAAAGTCAAAATAAAATTTCTAAAAAGGTGCCTTATTTAAAAACATTTCTTATAGAAAAGGAATCCACTGTTTCTCCTTGGAGATTTTTAAAAATAGAAAATGTTCCATGGCAAAGACTATTTACAGAAAACAGAACCAGAAGTGCATGACTTTTTCAATAAATATACTTTACCAAAATCATTTAATATGGGAGAGGGAGAGAATAAAAATACTAGTCTGAGATTCCTCCACTCTTCATTTTAAATTGTAGGCAGACTGTACTAACCTGACAATATGAAAATGAAACCCAATGGTCTTAGCCTATAGTTAGTTACCTTTAAACCGACTGTTCTGCAGCTCCACTTCCTGCAGCCTCACCTGCCATCTTTCCCAACTTCAAGTAGCACCAGGGGTACAAGACGGTCCCCACTTGCAACACCGACAATGAGGAAAGAACTTCACACTCAAGTTTAAAAGAATAATTGTGGGTTTTGTTTGCCCCCTACACACTCAGCATCCAGCACAGGTGTGTCAGTACATAATAGGTACTTAACGAGTACCTGTTGAGTAAACGGTGAGGTTTAATTATATTGGTGCAACATTAGTTTTCTTTTTCCCCTAAATCTTAAGTTCTCACCGGCTTGAAAAGCAACTCAAGATCATACCATAGTCCCTTAAAAAGCACATGAACTTCTTTATTAATAATGAAATTGAAAGCTGGTTCTCAGCAGAAGAAAAAAACAATCCAAGCACCTTTGATGTTCTCCATTCTTTTTTAAAAAAATTAGAAATAAGGTTCGTTTTCCGGAAACAGAAGAGGTCTACCATCAAGATGAAGATTCCACATTTAATCATTTTCTACACCCATAATATTGGTAATAATAACTGACTACTCATCGAGACAAATTTTGGGTAACCACACACAAAAAAAAACCCACAAGCATTTAAACAAACTACATGTTGTTTACGACATTTATTTTACTTAGAGTCAAGAGGGTATGTGCCTAAATTTTACTAGATGTGAGATCTGCTCTGTCTGATGTTTCAAGATTCAGTCTTCATTCACATATTTTACTGGGCACCTACTATCTATGCCAGGCCCTCGGAAAAAAACGAGTAAATTATTTGAACTGACCATCGGCACCAAATTCCCCTACAAAAGCTTATCACTTAAAACAACCGCAGCTAAAGAGGAATCCCAGCGTTGTTTCTTCTACAGAAATCAGCCCACTGGGGCTTCTTTTCCACTGTTAAATGCAGCATCAGCGAGTCGCTTACCTACCACGCCCGTCACCAAAAATCACAACTGAATAAGCAAGCGCTGGGTGGAACAACCTGTAAGAGTAGCACGAGCCCCTCGGGGGGGTGGTCGGGGCTTTCTCTCCGGGGCCAAAAGAGCCGCGGCGAGACCCGAGGCTGACCAAGCCGGACGCCGCGGGCGAGCGTGCCGGATCCGCGGCAGGGGGTCCCCGCCCGCGCCAGCCCTCACCTGGAGGACTCCGGCCCTCGCCGCCCGCCCCCTGCCGCCGCCCTCCCGACTCCCAGACCTGCAAAGTTGGGGGGAGGGGGTCTTCACTGCCTTTTTACACCGGCTGGCGGCTGGCTTCCTCACTCGCCCGCCGGCCGTGCATTGGGAACGGAGCATGGAACCGTTTCTCAGAGGGAATGGAAGAAAACCCAAAGGCAGGGTCCGTGTGAGGACCTCACCCAGACCTGAAAATGGAGCCGCAGGCTCAACCCACAGAGCCCGCAGCGCGCGGCGGGCAGGGCCGGGCCGCGCTACCCCCCGAGCCCACGGCGGCAGGGATTCGCGGCTTCAGACCCCCGCCCAACCGGCCGCCACTGCGAGGAGTGGGGGCCCATGCGCGACCAGGGCCGGCGCTGCACTTACCGTCGTCTTTGTCTCGGCCGCCCGGAGCGGGGCCGCAGTCGTTCTCAGCGCCGGCTCCGCGGCTCCTACCACCCCCACGGCCGCAGCTGCGCTCCCCGGCGCACTCGCCGCTTCCTGGCCCCTCCCTCCCCGCCCAGCCTCGCGCGCGGGCGGGGCGAGGGGCGGGGCGGAGGCGGGGCGCGCTCCCTGAGCCAAAGGAGGGCCGAGCCGCCAGCCGGCTCCGCCCCGGGCCCCGGCCCCGGCCCCGCCCCCTGATAGACCCGGGCTTGGCCTCTGCCCCGACCCCAGCCACGCTCCGCACGCTCCGGCTACGCGGACTAGGAAGCCCCTTCCCAGGCAAGCAGAGGGCGGAGAGCTGGAGCACGCGCGAGAAAGAACGCGCCAGAAAATGGCGACTAGGGCTGGTTGGGAGCGTGCAGGAGCCCGTCCCACCCACGGGTGGTCCGCTGCTGCTCACGCCCCTTCCCCCGAACCGTGAGGAGGGGCAGTGTCCGCGCTCCGAGTGGAGCCGGGGACTCTCCCCAGCCGAGCGAGGTTGGTGCTGAGCCTTCGGACTACTTGTCAGTGGTGGCAATTGGCACTTGAGAAAGGTGCCCAGATATCGGACCAGTTTTTATTTTTATTTTTAATGTAAACATCAAAGTCGTTGAATCAGTCATTAACTGGCTTATGGCAGAGAACATCCACCTGGCACTTGAAATGTGCGAAATAAGTTGTCTCCTGGATTTCTGAGACTCCTTCAGCTGTACATTGTATATGTCCCAGAAATCAGAAACACACTAGAGGGCCCCTATGTAGCAGCCAATATTTTACTAAAATGTGTATACTACTTGGAATATAGAAACATACAACTTCCCCATCTCAACTATATGAGTGCAACTCAGGACCACACCACAGTCCTTCCTAGTTGCTCAGGCCAAAAATTTTGCTGTCAGTCATCCCTGGCTCCTCTGATTCTCTCATCTTCACCTCCAATCTGTCAAGTAAACCTGCTGCTGGTTGCACCTTTAAAATGAATCAGAATCACACCACTTCTCATCTGCATTACTTTCACTTTCTCTGGCCTTCAAAAGCCTATAAATGTTCTGCCTGCCCATCATTAACTCAGTCCACTGTCCACAAAAAAAAAAAAAAAAAAAAGAGAGAGAGAAAATATCTTCTTACCAGAAAAGTCAGCTCCTGTCTCATTTAGTCAAAACCCTCCAATAGCCCCCTATTTCATTCCTTGGCAAAGCCAGGGTCTTTACAGAGTGACTTACAAAGCTGTTCCCTCTGCAGGGAACATTCTTCCCCAATGGCCTTCACCTCTCTTTGACTCTTCGTATATTCTCACCTTTAACAACCAAGCTCACTTAGCCGGACCACGCTAAGACTGCACAGTCCAATCCCCAACTCTCAGTCCTTGCTTTTCCTTTCCTTCCCATGACTTTTCAAACCTTGCAACCATCTTTAATTTATTTATTTTGCATGTATGGTCTTCTCCAATATTAGATGGATTTGTTTTGTCTAACTGGTGTATCCCAAGTGCCTAGAGTAAATGAGAAAAAATTTAAGTCCCTCAACATAATGAAAAGTTCAAAGCAACAAAAACAATGGCCAATTTTTTTATTTTGAACTTTCTCCTGGTTCCAATTTCTTTCAATGTACCATAAGAGCCTCATCCACATCATAACATAAGCATTTTGATTCTCTAGTTATCCTGAGTACAGCAATAGTATGACATTTAATGCAATTTTTCTAATCAATGACATTCTGGTATTCTATTTCACTGAGTGAAAGTAATGTGATAAACTACAGGAAACCTTCTGGTGTGAAACGCATGTTAATTATAAGAGTTACCTAGGACAAATAAAACAGAAAATTCTGATATATGTGACTGTAATCTTTCCTTTGAATTACAAATGTAGTCATCTTGTATGATGCCTTAAGTAGTAGTATTTCCTATTATTTATTCATAAAGGTTAATAGTCATTATGTAAGTATATTTTTCAGTTTTTCATATTTTGCTTGTAAAATGTGATTGAATACTCTGAAAATATCTAATTTCAGTTGCTACTCATACACCCTTCCCATTAGCAGGAAATAAAAAGTAAATTAAGACAATTTTATTTAATGGTAGGATATCTTTTGTATGAAAGTCTGTATTTATAATTATTTGCTTTGCATTATATTTCTAGCATAGTCTCTTTACATATTTAATTTATCCTTTATGATTTAAAACAATTTAAGGGTACAGATTACCCCTTACAATTGAGATTATTTTTTATAAAATTAAATAGACAGCTTTTAAAAACCATTGACAGTGTTCCATCAAAGTCAAAATATGGTTTGCAATAACAAATTTGGTTTTATTATTATGAAACCAAATAATAATTTTTCAGCCAATATTATGTGTCTGTACTGTCCTTAAAATCGTTACCAAATAAAATTTTCTACCTGGCACAAAAGGCCAAGGTAGAAAATAGATACTGTTCACAAAATATGCATTGAAAATGCTGCTAAAAGTAAGTAGCAACTGTTACAGTACAAAAGAAAGTGTTTCACAAACTAGTCCATAAACAAGAAAATTATCTCAACAAAAATAACATGATACATTTGTATCATAGCAAACAATAAAAACACTAACACCAAGGACAATAGCGAGCACTGTGTTGGTTTAACCAACTGCGATCACTACTCACAAGCCCACATAGCTCACACACTGGCCTGATTTTCCCATCTTTCACGTAAATACATTTTCCTTCTAAACAGTTAAAGCAAATGAGTTGTTTTTTTCCTAACTGTATGCTATTAACATTTTAAAAACTACTTTCTCAAGTTTGATACCACTATTTCTCACGCACAGGTCTCAGCAGAGGTGGTGTATGGAGTCATCGAGTCTGGAGTTCAGACTCTACCGGATAATTAGCTGGGTGACCCTGAGCAAGTCTCTGAACGCTTCCAAACCTTTCTATTTTTCTAATTTAATGAGATCATAATAGTCATTATTTCCAAGAATTGTTGGAAGAAGTCAATGAGACAACTCTAGCAAAGTTCTTAGTCCTGGGCCTGGCACATGGTAAGTGCTAGTAAATACTAGCTATTATCATTACGCAAGCATATAATTAAGCTCATTGCCCTATATTTGTAATACTGAGAAAATGGCTCATAATAGGCCACAAATGGGATGGTTTGAGTTCTATAGCAAGATAGTATAATATGCCATTAACTGTGTATTTTTAAAGTGGCACTAACATTTCTTCTACCACCACTATGTGCCAGGCACAACTCTAGGCCACAACAGAAGCTAAGAGAAATAAGGCCCAGACTTAAAATAGCTTCACAGTTGAATAGGAAGAGACATACAGTTTCTAAATAATTGCTTTCAAAGTAGTAAGACCATACTTCCTCTTTTGTCAGGGACCCTTTTGTCCTGACTTAATGGTTATTTCTGTCCCCTTTCATTTTCAATAAGTCTAGGTTTGGATGATAAATTATGTTGTCACACCTAACTAGAAGTGTGTATAAATTGCTTGGGGTACAGAAAAAACCATTGGTTCTGCATAATGCTATCCAGGCTTTAACTGCTCCTTCAAAGGAACATCTAAATTTGCTAAGTACCACTCTGCCAAGTCCAGGTGACACAGACCTAATATATAGAAACAAACAATGGGAGGCAGCCAAAGTGAGGAGACAGACATGCCCCAGATGAAAGAACAGAATAAAACTCCAGAAAAAGAATGAAATAAAATGGAGACAAGCATTCTACCAGATGCAGAGTTCAAAACACTAATTGTAAGGATGCTCAGTGAACTTAGGGGGAGAGTAGATGAACTTGGTGAAAACTTCAACAAAGATAGGAAACATAAAGATGGAGATAGGAAATATCAAAAAGGACTGGTCACAATGAAAGAATAGAATACCTGAAATGAAGGATACCTTAGCAGAATCAACAGTAGATGAAATGAAGCAAAGGATCAAATCAATGATTTGGAAGATAAGGCAGCAGACACACCCAATCAGAAAACACAAAGAAAAAAAGAATGAAAAAAGTTGAGGATGGTTTAAGGGACCTCCAGAACAACATCAAGCACACCAACAGGAAGGACAAGACTGTTGTTGTGGACAAGAACAACAAGACTCATACACAGGCTGCCTACAAGAGACCCACTATAGGTCAAAAGACATACACAGACTGAAAGTAAAGGGATGGAAAAAGATATTTCATGCAAATGGAAATTAAAAATAAGATGGAGTAGTAATAGTTATACCAGACAAAATAGACTTCAAAACAAGGGCTCTAACAAGAGACAAAAAAAGGACCCAGCAATTCCACTTTGGGGTATTTATCTGAAGAAAACCAAAACACAAATTGGAAAAGACACGAGCATACTTACATTCATTGCAGCATCATTTGCAATAGCTAACCTATGGCAGCCACCTGAGTGCCCATCGCTAGGCAACTGAATACAGAAGACATGCTACAACAGAATATCACTCAGCTGTAAAAAGAGTGAAATCCTGCATCTGGGACAGCATGGATGAACATGAAGTTATTATGCTAAGTGAAGTAAATCAGAGAAAGATAAATATGATTTATGATTTCACTTGTATGTGGACTCTAAAAACAAAACAAAATACATGAGCAAACAAAAACTCATAGATACTGAAAACAAACCGATGGTTGCCAGATGGGAGGGGTCTAGGGGACGGATGAAAAAGGGGAAGGAATCAAGATGTGCAAATTGCTAGTTATAAAAATCGTCGTGGGGATGTAAAGTACGGCATAGGAAATGTAGTCAATATATTGAAATGACTATGGTGTCAGACAGGGACTAGAGCTAGTGGGGTGAGTGCTTCCTAAGTTACATAAATGTCTGATCATTCTGTCTGACACCTGAAACTAATTCAATATTGTGTGTCGACGGTAACTGAAAATTAAAAAATTAAATAGTTAGGTTAGCCAAGTAGACCAAAAGAAGGAAGAAAGGCTGACGATTTTGTTTTTATGACTCTCAGTCAAAACCAAAGCTTCTCTCTACTTAATGAACTCAGTGAATCCCCTTGACCCATGTTATATGAGTAGCTTGGGGATTTCACATTTTTTTCCTGAAGATATAACAGGCATACTCCAA